GAAACCGCAGTTGTCCAAATGCTTTGTGCTTCGTGTATATAATTTTTTATTTATTTCTACTTCATTGTAATGAAGTAGAGCTGCTGGACTGTAATGCTAAAAGAAGAAAAAATAAATAATTGTAATTAGGAGGTCACTGCCCGAATGAGGTTTACGCTCAGATTCCTGGGTATTCTTTAGTCAAGCTTTTTCAATGGTGTCATTTTAGAAGGGGACGATCTAGCCAGATCCACTTAATGAAGATGTATAAGCACAAGAACACTACTGTTTTTGCTGGTTCGATAGCGTACGCTTAGGGCTTTAACAAATTGGTGCTTAAGGTACCTGAAAATAACTAAACAGGATCTAATAGGATCTTGTACGCTGCACACCGATGCATGACAATAATTGTTTTATAGCTTCAATTAGTTAGGTTAGCGGTTTGTATTTTTAGTTTTTCGTTTGAGATGCAAATTCTATATATAGGTGATCTTTAATTTCTTGGTCTTCAATGGGATGGGCGAACCACGCAACAGTGCATGCAGTAGGTGTGAGAGTGATTCTCTCTAAATAGCCACACGTGCATCGACCGGGACGTGGCAGTGCACAAATAGATGTGTGATGTACAAAAGTATAAACAAAACTCAGCTTCCCGGTTTTCGTGTTATCCAATTTTCTCTAATACAAGTTCTCATTAATTTTCCCAAAGAGACCTGTCATCTATGATAATACATTATCCATTCATCATCACGTCATATACTACCTCAGCATGTAATGGGAAAACAAAAAGGTCAAACAGAAAAAAGCCATGTTCGCTACCAAAAGTGTGCCATTCAGCATTTTAATTAACCAGCGAGCCTGTGTGAAAAATGAATGAGCTGCGAGGAGTGAAAGCCTTATTTCGCCCCGAGTCATACAGTATAAGCAGGCGAGACAGTGTAGTGGCAAAAACAATTTTGCGAAGCTGAAGAACAACAATTTCAGATCCATGGGCAGATCGGAGAAAGTCACAAACACTAAGCTGTAGCGAATACAGTCCCATTAACACGGCTGTCCCTCAAGATGATTTCTGTGGCTTTTGATTCCCTCTGTTGGTTTAGCCGGGCCGCATCTCCGCACACTCTCATACCAGCCAGGATGTGACCCCTCTGGCAAAGACGCATGTCTTATGCCGTACGTCACTTCACCCACCGCAGACGTGTGGAACACACAACCCCCATCGCTGTGGTCGAACAGAGTCCTCGCGGTCTCCGACGTGAATCTCCGGGGTCTTTTGTTGAAACGTCACAATGGAATTTAAACAAAGGCAGAGGAGTCTGAAGCGACGGTGTTCGCCAAAGCGGGGCTTTGTGAATAATTGCCGATACCGTGGAGGCACGGAGGAATGCGTGCGGAGAGGCACTCGTGGTTGACGAAGAGTGAGCCCGGGTTTTACCACAGATGAGTAGCGACGAGAATATAGATGAGAATGACAGCAGGCTCATAGCTGCTTGTCACAGATCACATGACAACGGGGGACTGCAACAGCCAGATTAACCTAAGAGTTATTCATGGGTCTACCGGACTCAGAACTCCAAGAACCGACCCGGGTCCGGTCTGAACTAATCGCGTCTGGTTTCTGTTATGTGCAATAATATTGTATTTAACAACTGGACGGATTAGATCTGCCCATTATATTACAAATATAAAGAACACATGTGTGATGTAAAACAGATGTCATCCTAAATATTTCAGTCAAATGAAACTAAAAGTTTATGCACGTGATCACCTTGTTTGACTGGCTGCGGATGGAGAGAGACAGAGGTTGTACATTGGTGATGGAGATTAGAGGCTGTACATTGGTGATGGAGATTAGAGGCTGTACATTGGTGATGGAGATTAGAGGCTGTACATTGGTGATGGAGATTAGAGGCTGTACATTGGTGATGGAGATTAGAGGCTGTACATTGGTGATGGGGATTAGAGGCTGTACATTGGTGATGGAGATTAGAGGCTATACATTGGTGGTGGAGATTAGAGGCTATACATTGGTGATGGGGATTAGAGGCTGTACATTGGTGATGGGGATTAGAGGCTGTACATTGGTGGTGGAGATTAGAGGCTATACATTGGTGGTGGAGATTAGAGGCTATACATTGGTGGTGGAGAGGATACATTGGTATAAACTATTATTGACTGATAGAAAATGGAGTGCCTTTTTCACAGATGTTACTCTATTAGTGTTTACAAAGCACAACTCACAGGCTTCCAGTATACTTAACATAACTTAAGACATATAGATCTTCCGGATTCAATACTAGATCCCAGAGTTGGATAGTTTTAAAAACACCTTTTGTAAATACTGAGTTGGGTAGTTCAGCTTTCGCTTTTAAAGCACCTCAGCTGTGGAATAGTATTCAATTAGGTAAGTATATGTTAAATAAAAATGAAATGTGTGGTGTGACAAAAGTCCCATTTGTCAACTGTGGCGGTGTGCACTGATTTAGTCTGGCTAATTTGAGACGACGAAGATTGTCTCAACCATAACACCTTTAATCTATCAATATAACGTTTATTTTTTTAATTATCAATATATGGGCAAATTACACCCTCTTGCTATAGCCACTGTGTATGAAATTGTTGATGCATGCTCTGTCTGGTTACAGGCTGGGTGATTGTAAAAGCCATTTGTGACAAATGTCATTGAAAAAAGGGCTTTATACAATACATTTGTTTGATTGATTGGTCTAGTAACTGCTCTGGAGAACATTAAGAAGAAAAAATGCATTGTAAAGCCATAAGGTAAATTGTAAAAAACTGAAAAAAAACTGAAAAATTTTCAAAATGGATAGCAACTAACCCTGATATTGTTTAAAGCTCCTGGGATATATCTGCACAGCGCGCTGATCTAAAATCAGCTTTCTTGAACGGAACCCTAACCTCTACTAATAGAGGGTAAAATGCAAAACTGACCCTAGATCATTGCTTAAGGCTACATTTAATCGAGATTAGGAGGAGAGGGCATAGGGGACCTAGGGTTGGAAATATAATATGACCCAACCAATCAGAGACTACTTTAACTACTTTGGGGACCATGCAAATATGTAGGGCTTTGAGATTAGTAAAAGTGCACAGCCCTCTTCTCTGAACTTCAGTTCATTTGAACTCCATCTGAATGTGCTCTTAGACAACCTATGGTTAAATATATACTTTGAATTTCCCAACTTAGTTTGGTAGCCCTTGGTTATTGAAACCGCGATAGCTCTCTCACACAGCCCGGTCTCAGCAAACACAACGTTGCTTCAGCAAAGAACCAGAAGACGTTCTCTCAACGTTCAAGTGCCTATAGAACTGATTCCTATTGAACACATTTGTATTTGATTTTATCTAAATGAATAATGGTCCGCGGGGGGGAAGTCTAACGTAATATATTTGGAACGACCAGTAATTATAAAACTAGGCCATATAGCAATGGGAGATAATTAACAGTAGAAAGTCCCTGTGAGGTTTTTTAGGAAAAAGTGGCTTTGACAAAGCCATTCAATTATGCCTTTCCCACGGGGTCCAAGTATCCGGAATACATAACGTCTATATTAGGTGCATTACAAATGGACGGTTCCATTGGGACTGAGCCACGCGAGGGGACCGTGGACATTTTTACATTTACATATTAGTCATATAGCCGACGCTCTTATCCAGAGGAATTGACATGTTTTATTAACTACATACGTTGCTGTTACTTGCTGTTATGCTTGTTAGCTGAGCTTGGATATGTAGCTACGGCGTCATTAGCCAGCACAATGAGTTTAACACCACTTCTATTCAGTGAACACAGAGAGTCAGGACACCCAGATCGTGGGCCGTTCTTGGGACTTAGGTTGCAGGTGCGTGTGAAGAGCGGCAGCCCCGACCACCTAACCACCCACCCAAAACGGGCAGCGATAGCGTAGCCAAATTAGCATAGCCGTACCCCAAGCTGTTGTCAGTATGTTACACCAGGCCTATTGTGATGCGTCGGTCCCACGTCTAAAATAGATTTAAGAGGTGGCGGCCAAACCTCTTCAGAGGAAGACAAACTTGTGAATTTTTTGTGATTTTTTCTCAAGTACTTAACTAAGTAACAAACGGCACATTGCGTTGCTGTTATGTGTTTTGCAATGCTTCATTTAGCACTTTAAGAAAATGGAGACACAGAGGGAAAATAAGCCTAACAAATAAGTAGGATTGAACCCCTGGCCTCTGGGTTAGTGAGACGGTCCATTTATTTGGAATTTACACACTTATTGACCTATATTCCAGGATGAGTTGAGGGAATAGATTGCAATCCATTCCTGGCCTTCATATTAGCTTCATTGCCTCATGCATGTGTTTTCATTGCCCGAGATCTGATTCGTAACCGACCAGAAAACTCACTGTCGAAATCACATAAAGATTTGATTGGTTCAGTACACACAGTGATTAGAGTTCCAACTGGCAAGAGAAGCACATAATGTTCAGGTCTACGCTATGCCATTAACATGATGTATGGTTGAGAAAATCCTAAACACGTGGTCCCGGGGCTTGCATTTGAGACCGGCGTCTCGCAGTGGATTTTAATAGCCAATCTGCAGCTATACTGTAGCTGTGGGTGCAAATTAAGCACCGCACGGTTTGAGAAGAAGTGATATCAGCTCAGGTACATGTGCTACATGGCCCACCAGAGGGACGGGAAAACAGGAAATGGGAATACAATGCTCCTGTGTTTGACCAGAATATCCCTGTGCACATGTCCCCATCGACACCTAAAAATAAATGTGACAATAGGACACAAATGGTTGTGCAATGCAGTCAGCGTCTGATGCTGGTCAGCCGGACATTGTACAGGACATTAAGGAATGTATACTATCTATGTACTTTACTTCCTGTTTTTATCCTTTTTGGGGGGGTTCAATGTTGGTTGTATGACTGTGTATGACAACTGTTAATTTATTTTCATTTTATTTAACCTTTATTTAACCAGGTGGGCTGATTGAGAACAAAACATCACTTGCAATGGCAACCAGGGGAAACACTAGGGATTGAACCTAGGACAACATACATACAAAGCATGCACTCTACAACTGAGCTACACCCACTCCTCTCTATGTTTTATGGGCTCAATGTAATACACTTTTGTTTATTTATTCACAATTACAAAATGTTTATTCAATTCACAATTACAAGATGTTTTCTCATTAATGTTTGATTAATGTTTGACATAGGCAAAACCGGATATTTGGCAAAACCAAACGTAGTTTTTGGGACGGGAAAGGGGTATTGTCACAATCCCAATGGTGAATTGGTGTAGGAACCAATTCTGGCAGATAATCAAAATTGATTTTATTAATTAAAATAATATATATTCAAAATCTATTCATATGTATAAATAGAAATGGGTTCACTCAATTAATTGACATAGAAAAATGACTAAGATCACTGCTAGCCTGCTAAGCCTTTCAGCTGTATTACCACTGTGGGACTTAGACAAAGGCTATTAACAAGTAGCTAGCTAGCGATGGTATTACCGTACAGGTCAACTAATGGATGGAGCCACAAGTAAACCATTATTATTTAGAATAATATCAAAATAGCCTAGCTTAATAACAATATATTTCAAAGTAATTTATATTGTGTCATTATTGGCTGAATACCTTTCATTATAGTAGCTGAGGTTAAGTTATGTACAACGGGAGCAAGTGAGGAAACCTCTCCATAAGCGATCTAGCTACCCTATGGGCTGCAAGAAATAAAGTAAATGTGTGTGTAAATCTGAACCTGAATTCCAGTGATACCGTATTGACATAGTATTAAATTGACATAAAACCAATTCCTGTACCAATCGAAACAAAAATAATCTGCCCTGTCCCGCCTGCAATCATTTTAACATGCAGAAATCAGATCTTGACATATGTGGGTTTCCATAGCAACGGCTCTGTTTTGGACGGCTCCGGAGAGATGAGGAAGACTGAGAGTGAGATGTCAGCTATAGCTACTTTTAATTGCCCAGCTGACAGCCATATTGTACTACATGCAATAGTGACTAAAGCCAGGGAAATGCATTTCATTACTGGGAGGGGATTAGGGAAAACCTTAAAAATACATATTAAATAAAATGACATTTATCGCATGGTATTTTAATAAAAAAGAAGCGCGAACTTACATATACAGGTTGCATGTTCTTATTGCATGTATGAGGCAGGACGCAGTATTTTTATCCAAAGAAATCTCTTAAGTCTAAGACGCAACAAACCTAAAACAATAACCAGAAAGATATACTAGGGAGCTGGAGGAATACAAATAGGTCCAGTGATAAGGAACACCAGTGAAGGCAATAGCAACAAACAAGGCATCCGTTCTCCAACTGAGAGATCTCACTGTGATCTCACTATGTGTGGTTTTATTGAAGACAACTGTGTGTGATACTGTGTTGGTGTGAGAGACTTTTTTCCCGTTTTAAACAGTTGCAAAAGGGGGAGCAATGCGAATAGACATGTAGCTATTTGATAACCACGTGTCATTCGTCAATAACACAGGGACATTTCCTCCCTTCATTTACCGGTAACAGACCTGACACACTTGTACCATGTGCCGTTTCCGTAATGTGGCAGCATGCGGGAAAGTGCGTGACCCAGATAATTGCTGTCTTAAACAATTTACAGGCTCCTCCTCTCGTGCCACTTAATGCAGAGGTCCCGGATGAGAGGATTCTTGACCTCGCTAATGAAATCAGCCAATTCACACGGACCTGTGAAGAGCCTCGTGAAAATAGGGCAACGCTCTGCTGCCTGAAGTGGTTCCGCTGTCACCGCTGAGCGCCCTGTTGACTAACAGCGTCCTCGCATGTGTAACAACCTTGTCTAGGTGGGAGGAGCCAGTGCCCCGTGGACCCAGAGTGATTGTGATGACGCGTGGTTAGCCGTGACCTGCCTTTACAGGCATGTCACGGCTAAAGGTGTGACGATTCTTAATTAGCCACGTGGACTAAAGTGGACGTTTTGAAACCAGTCTGCATTACAGACTGATGGGTCGGGGGAGGGTGCCAGATTGTCTACGTTAGCTAAATGCTAAATGCATTTGTCTACGTTAGCTCTGTCTACCTTAGCTCTGTACTACATTAGATCTGTACTACGTTAGCTCTGTTTACGTTAGCTCTGTCTATGTTAGCTCTGTACTACGTTAGCTCTGTCTATGTTAGCTCTGTACCTACGTTAGCTCTGTACTACGTTAGCTCTGTCTATGTTAGCTCTGTACCTACGTTAGCTCTGTCTACCTTAGCTCTGTACTACATTAGATCTGTACTACGTTAGCTCTGTTTACGTTAGCTCTGTCTATGTTAGCTCTGTACTACGTTAGCTCTGTCTATGTTAGCTCTGTACCTACGTTAGCTCTGTACTACGTTAGCTCTGTACTACGTTAGCTCTGTACTACGTTAGGTCTATACTACGTTAGCTCTGTTTACGTTAGCTCTGTACCTACGTTAGCTTTGTCTACGTAAGCTCTGTACTACGTTAGCTCTGTCTATGTTAGCTCTGTACTACGTTAGCTCTGTCTATATTAGCTCTGTACCTACGTTAGCTCTGTACTACGTTAGCTCTGTACTACGTTAGCTCTGTACTACGTTAGCTCTGTACTACGTTAGGTCTATACTACGTAAGCTCTGTTTACGTTAGCTCTGTACCTACGTTAGCTTTGTCTACGTAAGCTCTGTACTACGTTAGCTCTGTCTACGCAAGCTCTGTACTACGTAAACTCTGGGTGAACACTCCGGGATTCAGTCGGCCACGCTAATCTCCATACCATAACCATTGTTAATGTTAGTGTTGTTTCTCATCTACACTTATTCTATAAATGGTTAGATTTATTGCCAATCCCTGGGGCCAATGCGCACAATTTGAATCAAACAAAAGGGAATGTAATTCATCTGTCCGATACAATGCAATAAATTAAAGACAGTGTACGTGGGCTCAGTGTACAATCGACTCACGGACTTATGGACACAAAACTGTAAAAGAATATGTGTTAAGTAGCTGTGACGACTAGAATGACTAGTCGTCCTCTTTTCGTTCTTTTTGTATTGCGCTCACCTCTACCTTTAGGTTGGTTTGAGGTAATGTGGTTGCACTTTGCTTTGCATTGTTTGTTTCAAGTCACGTCAGAGTTTGGTGAGTGTGAATTGTTATTTAGGGACAGCAAAAAGGCATAGGGGCAAAAAGGCATAGGGCAAAAAGGCATAGGGGCAAAAAGGCATAGGGGCAAAAAGGCATAGGGGCAAAAAGGCATAGGGCAAAAAGGCATAGGGGCAAAAAGGCATAAGGGCATAAAGGCATAGGGGCAAAAAGGCATAGGGGCATAAAGGCATAGGGGCAAAAAGGCATAGGGGCAAAAAGGCATAGGGGCAAAAAGGCATAGGGGCAAAAAGGCATAGGGGCATAAAGGCATAGGGGCAAAAAGGCATAAGGGCATAAAGGCATAGGGGCAAAAAGCCATAGGGGCAAAAAGGCATAGGGGCAAAAAGGCATAGGGGCAAAAAGGCATAGGGGCAAAAGGCATAGGGGCATAAAGGGATAGGGGCAAAAAGGCATAGGGGCAAAAAGGCATAGGGGCAAAAAGGCATAGGGGCAAAAAGGCATAAGGGCAAAAGGCATAGGGGCAAAAAGCCATAGGGGCAAAAAGGCATAGGGGCAAAAAGGCATAGGGGCAAAAAGGCATAGGGGCAAAAAGGCATAGGGGCAAAAAGGCATAAGGGCATAAAGGCATAGGGGCAAAAAGCCATAGGGGCAAAAAGGCATAGGGGCAAAAAGGCATAGGGGCAAAAAGGCATAGGGGCAAAAAGGCATAGGGGCAAAAGGCATAGGGGCAAAAAGGCATAGGGGCAAAAAGGCATAGGGGCATAAAGGCATAGGGGCAAAAAGGCATAGGGGCAAAAAGGCATAGGGGCATAAAGGCATAAGGGCAAAAAGGCATAGGGGCAAAAAGGCATAGGGGCATAAAGGCATAGGGGCATAAAGGCATAGGGGCATAAAGGCATAGGGGCAAAAAGGCATAGGGGCATAAAGGCATAGGGGCATAAAGGCATAGGGGCAAAAAGGCATAAGGGCAAAAAGGCATAGGGGCATAAAGCCATAGGGGCAAAAAGGCATAGGGGCAAAAAGGCATAGGGGCATAAAGGCATAGGGGCATAAAGGCATAAGGGCAAAAAGGCATAGGGGCAAAAAGGCATAGGGGCATAAAGGCATAGGGGCATAAAGGCATAGGGGCAAAAAGGCATAGGGGCATAAAGCCATAGGGGCAAAAAGGCATAGGGGCATAAAGGCATAGGGGCAAAAAGGCATAGGGGCATAAAGGCATAAGGGCATAAAGGCATAGGGGCAAAAAGGCATAGGGGCAAAAGGCATAGGGGCATAAAGGCATAGGGGCATAAAGGCATAGGGGCAAAAAGGCATAGGGGCAAAAAGGCATAGGGGCAAAAAGGCATAGGGGCATAAAGGCATAGGGGCATAAAGGCATAGGGGCAAAAAGGCATGAGGGCATGGCTTAAGAGTTTGTGTGTGCTGTGCTGTGGGTGTGTGCGTGGTCATGTGCCCCTGTCTATTATGTTTTCCTGCCTGTGAGTTATTCAGTTCGGACTCGAAAAGATTGTAGACTGCAACAAGAGAGAGGGAGCGACAGGGAGAGGAAGAAAGAGGGACGGATAGAGTCCGAAGACTGCTACTGTGGTCAAGGCAGAGTCCCTTCTGGATTCTACAGTCTGGCTTGCAGAAAAGGCATGCAATGACCCTGTTCACTTAATGTATTATTCATGACTGTGTGTGCCGTACTGGCCAATGAGAACAGACCCTGTTCACTTAATGTATTATTCATGACTGTGTAAGCCGTACTGGCCAATGAGAACAGACTCTGTCCATTATATATATAATATATATATATATATTATTCATGACTGTGTGTATGCCGTACTGGCCAATGAGAACAGACCCTGTTCATTATATATATAATGTATATATATTATTCATGACTGTGTGTATGCCGTACTGGCCAATGAGAACAGACCCTGTTCATTATATATATAATGTATATATATTATTCATGACTGTGT